CTTAATCCCTTTCAGTTGTTTTTGGATAAGGGCTAATTTTTGATAAATGTTATTTTGGTTCATGGTTAATTGCTATTGGTTCGTTGTCCTCTCTCTCTCTCTCTCTCTCTCTCTTGTCTGTGTTCGTTTAGTTCTTCAAAAGTCAAATCACAGCCGAGGAATTCTCTCCCTGTGGATTGGCAAGCATCAAGGACAATGAAACTGCCAGCACAAGGGTCCACAACTAAATCTCCTTCTTGGGTGGTGGCTTCGATGAGAGTTCTAATTAAAAAAAAGGGCTTTTGGTGGGGATGTTGTTTTTTAATGTCGGAAGGCTTTTTTTCCGTCCAAATGCTAGGGAAAGTTCGATTAGTAAATTTCCGACTGCTTTGGGGGTTCTTTTGTAATAAGAAAGCATACTCCCCGACACTCCGAAAATAAGAACCCATGCCTAGTCATTCGGGCTTATTTCAGACTAACAAATCCACTATTTTTACCTTGGGGGCTCTTAATAATCACACCGAAACTCGGTCATTCTTTAAAATGCCTTTGTTAACTCATAACAAACAAAAGCCTGACGGCTTCAATACTCGGCTGATTTCCTTAATAATGTGGGTGATTTGGTTTTCGGTTTGATATTGTAAGGGATAATCGACATCCAAAACATCTCCTGCTTTCTCGTATTGAGGGTCAAAAAACACTAAACTAACACTTTTATCCTCCAAAGTGGCTAATAATTCGGTAGCTTCTCCTGCTTGTTTGCTATTTCGGCAATATTTTTGCTTAATTAATTCGGTCATGGCTTATCTCTTGGTCGGAATGACAAACTCGGCACTTATCTCAATTACAAACTCGGATATGGCCGTCTCGGATTAATCAGGAACTATTCTCATTCTCGGCTCGTCATTCGGTAAAAAAGGCTCGGTAATGTTTTCCCTCGTAGTGAAAGGAAATAAATAATCGTCCCTTCTGGGTTTCGTGTAAATTAACTAGGGTATTTTCTAAACTCATATTTTTTCTTGGCCTTCTTTGGGGCTTCAGCCGTTCCCTTATTTGAATTGCTATAAAAAGTCTATATTATGGTCTGCCTGGGTTTTTTTTTGCTGGGAGATACCAAGGCTAAACTCCCAAGGGCTTTTGCTATAAAAGCCTTACCACCCTAACTACTAACCATAATGAAGCAGCAACTATCCCGACTAAGGAAGCAGTTTTCATTTTGCTATCCAGCAATC